CCGGCTGGGTCGCTTTTGCTTCCCAGTGCGGTGGCGTTGAAAACTCCCTCTGAGCTGTGATTCCGTTCAGAACACCCTGGCGATCTGGGGGGGCGGCTGAGTGCCCACGCTGGTTTGTGCAAGCGTACCTTTGAACTTTCTGTCGGGTGGCTGCGCCCTGTTCACCTGGGTACCCCCTCCTTTCCAAGTAGGTGCGTGTGAGGGGACAGATTGCCAACGTTAGTTTAGTTTGTTTTACGGAAGCGTTGCTGTACACACTGTATTTACATGCGTTTGTGAGTGTTCGTGGGATTCTGCGTTAAAGTTCATGCCTTATAACTCCTAGACGTTGAATCCTTGAAGTGAGAGGGATGCCTCGAGATGTGGAACATGTCTTGAGAAGCAGCGCTGGAAGGGAAGGTTTTGCTTCCTAGGAAGGGAGACGGAGGACAGGCCGGGTCCCTCCCGCATGGCTGTGTTGGGGCAGCGGCTCTTCGCCGGTTCTGCCGGGCTTCACCTCCTGGGAGCTGCAGGCGCAGCAGGAGGCCGGTCGCTGCTGAAGCAAAACCTCTTCCACAGCTTGTAAGGGCCAGTTGGGTTTGTGTGTCCGTCACTGTCTTGCCTCTGCTTTGCCCTAATCTGTTTTGGGGAATTAGGTATTACCAGCTTCATATTAATGCGATGAATAATGGCTTTATTATTTAATCATACTGTCCTATTACCAGTATGGGAGGTGGGGAGAGACTGAAGAGTGTGATGACTTCTACCTTACAAACTTGAATGACAGGCTTATTTACAAAACATGCTTCACGTGGATGATGTATCTATTGCTAAATTTTGTCCCTTGCCCTCACACCCAATTTGCTTAACTGAAAGATAAGAAGAATCACAAAGCAAATGATGTACTTGTTATAGTTTAAAATATCAGGAAGGAAGATTTTTTAATTTTTTTTTTTTTAGGGACATACGCTTGGATATGTTGCATATATGAATTTGCAAGGCCACACAAACGTGCTCACTGGTTACAGTTTGCCACGTCACTGGAAATAGTGGTGGTGTGCTGTATGACGTGCTCCTGGGATCTGGGTGGAGAGGCAAATATTTGTGGTTTAATTTAGAAATTAAACCACAAATCTTCTTCCTCTCTGTTGTTACTAGTCCCCCTTGTTTTCAAGAGATAATTAGTTTTACTGGAATTGATTTTCAGCACCTGTGCTGTTCCATAGCAAAATGAACCTTACTGGGCAAAGATGAATGATTCATACAATGGGTCAATATTGCTCCCTCAGATTAAACATGCTCTATGGCATATTAACACACTGAATTATTTCTTTCCATATGGATGCTGAAAATCTATAAATTATTTAAATCACTTTTAAAATCTCTATTATATGATTTAAAATACTTGTTTCAATAGTCACTAAATATACGTGAAATCTTTCATTTTAAAAGGTGAGCAAAAGGAATAAATAACAAAAATATGTCAGATAAATATTGTTTCTTCAATGGTTGTTCATTAAAATGTGTTGTCTGTAGTTATGTAGAGCCATTGCTTTTAGTCTGGCACTTCTCTTGCTAACTAGGGAGGTAAGCATATGCAATTATTTAATATTTTTGTGTATATTTTACAAATTCCTATCTTGTTAATGTACGGTTTAATGATGGTATCTTATACTTGCCATTCAACTGAAGGGTTAAGGTGGAAATGTAAGGTGTTCTAATATTAAAGTGGTTTTGATTAATGTAAATGCTCTGAAACACATGAAGACAAATCCACTGTGTTTTCTGTTTCAAATGATTCTGTCATCTGTGGGCTGAGGGGGTTATTTTGGTAACCAAACCCTCTAAAGCTTTAGAACTAGTAGCTACCTTGTGCCTGTTGTTCTTGTTGCTCTGACTTGAATAGAGGAAGGACCAAACTGCTAACGTTTAGGCCCTGGTCAGCTTTAGGGATTTGTAATGTGTTATCTTGAGACAGAGTGAAAAAAAGTAAGCATTTTGTACATGCATGTGGTGGTTTGACTTTGGCTAAATGCCAGGTACCTACCAAATTGCTCTACCACTTCCCCCCCTTTCCCCTTGTTTTCTCAACAGGGCAAAGAGGGGAAAGAAAATAAGATAGACAACCCTTGTGGGTAAAACAAAAGCAGTTTTAATATAAGCAAAGCAAAGGTCCAGGCGTGGAAGCAAAAAAACCAAAACAGATTTAATCTCTACTTCTCATGAAGAGGCGCTGTCGGGCCTTCTCAGGATCAGGGCTCCCATACGCGTAGTGGTTGCCTCGGAGGACCAAGGGTGACCCCACCCCCTTCCTCCTTTCTCCCAGCTTTATACTGAGCAGACGTCGTATGGTCTGGAATGTCCCTTTGGTCAGCTGGGGTCAGCTGTCCTGGCTGTGTCCCCTCCCAAGATCTTGCCCACCCCGTCCCACTGGGGGGGAAATGTTGGAAAGAGCCTTGGTGCTGTGTAAGCACTGCTCAGCAGTAGCCACAGCACCAGGGTGCCATCAACACCCTGCCAGCTCCCAGCATAAAACACAGCTCCAGGAGGGCTGCTGGAGGGGAAAACCAATTCCAACTCAGCCAGACCCAGTATGCTGCACAAGAGCCTTCTCCGGTTGAAATCTGCTTTTGAACTTGAGCAAGCTCTGGTTGCAGGTGGTGACTTCCATCTACTTAGCAGTTTTAAAGAAAATATTACTTAGGGCTTTAAAGTTATTTTAATTATTATAGTAGGCTTTATCTGGAATGTCGTAGAGGAAAACACATTTTAAATAGGATAATTTTGTTAAAAGAGACCTGTGCTTCTATTAATCTTCCTTTTAAGCCAAATTCTGTTGTAGACCGGTGACAGGAGCTGAAGTTCTTCTATGGTTATACACGGCTACATGGATCCCTTTTCTGTGAGTAGGTGTGTTAGACCAGATTGATGAATGAGGACCAGTTAGGCTCTCTAGTGCCTGCCTTTGTGTGTGCTTTCAAACAGACTGTGAAGAGCAATATTGCTACACAGCTTTGTCCTGCTGCTAATTGCTGCTAGTCAATATATTCATTTTCTTCCTTATCCCAGTTTCTCCAGCTGATGTTAGTTCATCCTAACATACCTAAAAGATGGTAACTCTCCACAACCCAAAACAAGTTGTTCCCCTGCACGCTGTGTCTCTGCTGATATGAGGCAGTGCAGCTGGTGCTCTGGCAGGTCTCAGTTTACCATAGGTACACGTTGTGGCCACTGCAGGTCCAGGCTTGGCAAGGGTGGCGTGCTAAGCTGCTGCTGGCTCCTGTCAGTTACCCTCTATAAGGGCAAGGAGGTATTCACCTGAAGGTATCTACTCGCACCATCTGTGAATGTGGTTTTTTTCTTATTTCTTCCCCAAAAGACCATTAATTTTGGAAGGAAAGAAATTTCACACGCCACATTTCAGGCTTCTTTGTATTGCTTCAATAAGTCAAAGCCTTTTAAGCTGTTGGTTCATATTTTAATGTCTATTTTTGGCACTTGTAAAAGGGCAAGCTATTTTCTGTCTTAGGATTTCAAAATGGATTAGTCAATGTATATCAGCCTGCTACCATATGGCTGATAAACCTCTCCCATCAATATTAAAGCTCAGCTGACTAAAGCACAGACTTCATCCTCTTCATGCTTCAGGAACATCCCTATTTTCTGAAATTTGTAAGAGCTACTTGGAATAATCGCTTTACTTTTTTTTTCCAAAGAGCTGTGACCCTTAGCTTACTGCAAGATCAGACACCAAATCTTCTAGTAGCTGTTTTTGTAGTGACAAACTCCCTCTTTCATGTAGGGTGTTACCAGTCTTCTGAGCAGGTATTAGCACAGACACACTTGAAGAATTATGAACAGCTACTTACAGTGACTCACATAGAGCTCATAAACAGCAGTGCTGTTTTATTTAGTTTTGGGCCATTTTTTTGTTTTCAGCAGACCTCATCAACTAGAATTTGCCTAATGAGGGCACTGGAGAACTGGGGAGGGCACATGGAGCGCATGTCCTGCATTTGCTGCCCAGTGAACAGGCTGGTGCTTTTATATCTTGGATGCACAGGAAACGTAACGTGCCAAGATTGTGATCCTCTTAGCCATTATCTCCAATACATTTATTGCTTTTCCTGCAAACTATAATTCTTTCTCTTCTCCATACTTTTTACAAGTAAGGATGTTCCTTGTTAATAAGCATGCATCAGTTCTTTGCTAATAAAAAACAGTTAATAGGAAATAGCCAGTAGGCACTGTGCTGCTTAGTACCTTCTGGGAATGAAATAAAGATAGAATTTTTTAAAGATAAAATGTTGAATTGGAGTTAAAAATTTATTGAAGCTGAAGACATTGTTTGATCTTAGTGTGTTCAACAAGCACCTTACCTTTGCTAAGTTTTATCTGTCTTTGTGTTATCTGAACAGTTGTTTTGAATTGTAACTACAGGAAGAGTACTGTACTTACTGCTGATCTGAGGGAAGTGAGGACTTAAAGGGCTGTTGTTTCCAGGGGTGAGAGGAAAGAGAATAGACTAATTAAAAGTATAATTTTTTACTGTTGTCAATATTCATATGAGTACAGGAGGCTTGTGGGTCTTTGGAAGGGATGTATGTGAGACCCTGAAGATGGAAAGCAGCTGGCCTGTCTCTGGGCAAATGGTGTTTCAATTTGTTTTGTAGCAGAAGTCAAAGGAAATATCAAACCAAATTTTAAAATAAAAACAATTTTGGAACCTATGGCTGCCCCAGACAGTTATAGTTCTGCAATGCCACACTTCAGTTTTGTAAGAACAATTGTTTTGTCTTGTTACATGAGATTAGCATAAAATGGGAACTTGACTAGTGGAGAACACGACAGCAGCAGTGAATGATGAGCAACATCATTGTCTCCATTTGCTTTTATTTAGAGAAGTGCGATTTCTCTAGTATGGAGAAATAGTGTTGTGCAGAGTACAATGTTTAGAATAATATTGAAACTGTAGTAGTTTTCAGTAGAGATGACTTTAAAATGGTGACGCCCTTCACCTGAGACTGAAGGTCTAACTCTTTTTCATTTTGCCCATTCCTCTAGTCCTGGAGGATGGATGTTTGATAAGATTGTTACCGGTGGTATGGGAAGGATCATTACTGTTATGGGTTGCTTCCACTTCTGGCTTTCTCATTCCAGAATATTGAAAAATCTTTTAAAAATCTTTGCATGGTCTCTTGCAAGTATGCTAGTTTCTATATACTTCTGTTGCTGAATTGTCAGATTTGTGTCATCCCCTTTCCCATCATGGACAGGTGAAGTAGGGAACGCTTTAGAGCTTTAAAGCTTTAAAGAAACAAAATATGTAGTATGTTTTCCTCATTAGTGTTTTAAGGGCTTGCCCAACTGGAAGTTTCATCTGTCTTCCAGGGATTTTATTTTGGGTGGATATGACTGGGACCTGTGGGTTTTTTTGTGAAGAAAGATCAGGTATGAAACTTTAAATGGGTCTTGATCCAAAATTAAGTGACTATAAACAACTACGCAAATTTTAATGAGAATGTGGTCACACTTTTGTGAAATAACATACAAAAATACAGGAACTCAAAAATCTAAAACCA